AAGGCAGCGGGTGAAGGGGTGAGTCAGGTGGTGAGAGAGGGCACGGAGGCCAGACAGAGAGGACTGGTGCCCAGTGCCAGGGCTGAGATTTGGAATAGAATCTGTCAGGGAAAAGAGGTCAGGGTTTCAGAGTCGGGGTGCCTAGGACGAGGCAGCAAACCAGAGGGCCAAGCAGGGTGGGCCTGGCGGGCCTGGCCTTGCCTGGGTCTGCAGTCGGTGGCCTGTTGGTCTGCCTGTTCATAAGGCAGAGGGTGGCAGGCAGCAGCAGGCTGGGGCTGCTGCGGTTCTCACTGGGGAGCCTCCACCTCTGAGCCAGAGATCACGGCCTACTCTCTCCTATTGGCCCAGGCCATGCCCAGCGTGTGTGTGTGTGTGTGTGTGTGTGTGTGTGGTTAATCCTCGCCAGAGGATATTTTCTCCAGTGATTTTTTTTTAAGAGAGAGCAGAAGGGAGGGATGGGGAGATGGAAACAGTGATTGGTTGCCTTTTAAAATTTTTATTTCTTTATTGATTAAGGTATCACATCTTTATTTTTAATTTACTTTGCTATTTTAATTTTTTATTTATTTATTTATTTTTATTAAGATATTATATATCTGTACATATCTTACCTATGCTTCTATGCATGCACACAAGTCTTTCAGTTGATCTCTTATCTCCCCCACCTCTCCCTAACCTTCCCGCTGTCATTTGACAGTTTGCTTGATGCTTTACTGCCTCTGTATGTCTTTTTGTTCATCAGTTTATAATTTTCTTTATTATCCTTAAATGAGTGAGATCATGTGGTATTTTTCTTTCATTGACTGGCTTATTTCACTCAGCATATTGTTCTGATTGGTTGCCTTTGACACGCACCCCAACTGTGGGACTAGGGATTGAACCTGCAACCCAGGTACATGCTCTTGACTGGGAATAGAACGTGAAACCCTTAGGTGTGCAGGCCGACGCTCTAACCACTGAGAACGCTGGCCAGAGCAGGTCATGCCTATTCTTGAGGTCGCCTTTATGCCCACAGCTTTTCGCTCTTCTGCTCTTTATGAGCCTGTTTTATTCGGAGATGGGAGACCCAGAGTCCCTGGGCTGTGGTAGCAAGGCCAGCATGCACCACATGTAGGGGACAAGATGAGTCTGTCTCCCCCTCCACCCATGTTGCTGCTGCATCCTTGGCTTCTGCGTGGGCCGAGCTTCACACCACACCACTAGCCTTCCTCACTGCACTCCTTCAGCCCCTTATTCATCCTCAGTCACCTGCCCTCAGCCTCCCACAGGACCTACCTGCTCACCTGCAATGGACGTGTCTCCAGCAGTTCTTAAGGGAAGGACACACTAGGTGTCTGCAGTCCAGCTCCTGTGTTGCCCACAATATAACCCCTCCCCCAGACGTGGCCCACATTCAGCTGTCCAGTGGGCAGTGCTGACTCTGCCCTGGTCACCAGCACCACTAGAGACCTGAGCCCCTTTGTCTGCCCTAAGGACTTCCCATCCCTAGAGGGCGGACCTTGGACCACTCTGGACAGAAGTTTGCTCCCCTGACTCCTTGTGAGACCGTCCCCACAGCTACGGTTCCTCATATCCCTACAGCTGGTTTGCACATTAAGGGCCACATGTTGATTCCTTTTATATGAAATGTCCCAAAATAGAGACAAAGTGTTTAGTGGTTTCCTAGAGCTGGGGGCACTAGATAGAAAAGGGAAGTGACTATTCAAGTATACGGGTTTCTTCTTTTGGGATTGTACAGTTTATTTTTTTAAACATATATTTGTTATTGATTTCAGAGAGGAAGGGAAAGAGAGAAAGATCAATGATGAGAGAGAATCAATTGGCTGCCTTCTGCATGTCCTACATGGGACTGAGCCCACAACCCGGGCATATGCCCTATGACCAGGAATCAAACTGTGACCTTCTGGTTCATAGTTGATGCTTAACTACTGAGCCACACTGGCCAGGCAAATTTACATTTTAAATAGGTAAAGTTATGGTATATATGAATTATATTTCAATAAATCTGTTACCAATGGGAGTGGGGAACAGAACAAAAGAAAGCCCCACCTAAACACATCCATAGGTGAAGTTCAGAGCTGGCCATTGTCTCCCTGCACCCTTAAAGGGAAAAGTAGCAGTTTGAAGGTTTAGGGGCCAGTCCAGCCTGAAGTGGACATACGTTTTCTTGACCACCCTTCATCTGAACCCCCTTCTCAAGCTTGGAAACTCCCCACCATAAATCTATATATAAGATACAGTCCACCTTCCACCATATAAGAGACTTGCTTTTCCAGCATCCTCTTGCTGCCATGTGACCAAGGTGTGGCTAATCAGATGCCTCTGTGGGAATTGCTCAATCTAGAGCAAAGCAGGAGGGACAGTGGGGAGGACCTGAGGCGGCAGCAATGACATCTTCATATCAGCACTCTGATGCCAAGGCAGAATTCAGAGTGCACTGAACTGCTCGGATAATCAGGGAAATACTAATTTGTGGGGGGCTGTTTCTCTGTTTTCCGTGACCCGCACGGAAAACGGCAGGTTCCTGAGTGGAGGAGCTGGGGATTAAGAAATTAAAAAAAGAGACCAGAAGCAGAAATAGATTCAAGCTGGGATCCAGGTGGGGGGCTGCCATTCTGATGGAGACAGTCAACACCCACCACAGACAACACAGCACATTTATTGATTTCCAGAGCGGGGTTTAAGGTCAAAGAAGTTTTGGGTGTACCTAGGTCCTATTCATTCCCTCATTCCTGGGATTTAGCAATATCAAGACCTGGGTAAGCCCAAACTGGTTTGGCTCAGTGGATAGAGCGTTGGTCTGCAGACTGAAGGGTCCCAGGTTCGATTCTGGTCAAGGGCATGTACTTTGGTTGCGGACACATCCCCGGTGGGGGGTGTGCAGGAGGCAGCTGGTCGATGTTTCTCTCTCATTGATGTTTCTGGCTCTCTATTCCTCTCCCTTCCTCTCTGTATAAAATCAAGAAAATATATTAAAAAAAAAAAAAAAAAAAAAAAAGACCTGGGCAAGTCAAGGTCCTATTCATTCCTCATTCCAAGCACATGGATAAAGATAAGAAAGCAGTACTGATAACTGACTCCAACATTTTGTGAAGCTGTTTCCAGGGGAAAGGCCAGGCCAGTCACCTCGGACTCAGCTGACATTAATTTAAAGGTCATCCATGTGCATTCCCAAGGGGCTCTCTGCTCTAATTAAGGAGCTTCCACTGCACACCTGCTAGGATGGCTATACCCAAAAGTACAGTAACATGTTGGCTAAGCACCCCTCTCCCCCTTTTGAGCTCCCCTCCAACCTGTGTTTCTATGAGCCTGATAGTTAAATGGTCTTTTTCTGTTTTTATCAGCCAGAATCTGTTCTTTGGCTTTAAAGTGGTACTGACACACGTCTTCGGGGACCCTGCAGCACTAGATCGCTCACTGCCCCTGGGCAAGGCAAACTATCCCAACAGCTACAGCCCTCCACTCCCACCCACTGAGAGCAGAGCATCGTATGCTTCATCTTACATTTCTGTCATCAGACCGCCTTTCACCCCATCCCATTAGTATCCCATAATAGACGTCCTAGTTTCTAATTCTGTCTCTCCCCTTCTCTTTATAGCTGCTTTCTTTTTTGTTAGTCTTCCTAATTTCTGTTTGTTTTTTTCCAATCCTGCTTGGAATTTCCTGATTGTTAGTGTTTATAAACTTCAATTCTAGAAAATTCTCAGCCTCTTTGAAGTATTCACTCCTTCTGGAACTCTGGTTGTCACACCTTCTCACTCCATCTCAGTGGTTTTCCAACCTCTTTACTTCGTTCCCATTTCCTTGTATCCCTGGGCACTTTCCATCTTGTAACTTTCTCAGATCTACTTCAGGTTCATTCTCCTTTTAGGTGTCTAATCTGCTGCTTAACCAGTAAGTTTCTCAATTCATATAGCATATTTTTCATTTTTAAGTTTTACTTTAACCAAACCAATTTGGTCTTTTCTTAGTCTTTTCATTATTCATACTTTTTCTTTTAATGTACATTTTCTATTTTTCACTTTCAACATCTGTTGTTGCTATTCTGTTACCTCTTGCTGGTGGTGGTTTCTTTCCTTGGTGTGGATTGTGAACGCAGTCCTTGAGGTTTTATCTGCAGGAACTCCTTCAGGCCTGGGCATACAGTACAGTCCTGAGAAAGAAGCGCATTTGCTCCTGCTGGTGCCTGGAGACACTGCCAACCCAGGCCACTCTGAATGATCAGGTTGAGGATTTTCCAGCTCAAATGTGTAGTATGAATTCTAGACCCAAACAGTATTGAGAGACAGCTGTGCCGATAGTTTTTTGTCCCCATCTCCTACCTCCCCTTGCATCCAAAGGAAAGCTAAGTAGGTGAATTGTGGGATTGGTTCCCTCTTTAAATTAGGGGTGTCGAACTCAATCAGAGAAGGGGCCAAAATCTAAAATCCAGCCTAAATCGCGGGCCGAATGGTTTACTGAACAGTCATAAACTGTCATTGTGATGGAAACGCAGCGGACTGCAGTGATGACAGCGCGGTGCGGGCCACATTGCAAGGCCTGGTGGGACGGATTTGGCCCGCGGGCCTTGTGTTTGACACATGTGCTTTAAATGATCTGCTCTTGGGTCTCTGATCTGACTTCTCACTTTGTAGGAGCCTTAGATTTTGGCCCCCAAGACAGTAATTTTAGGCTCCCCACGCCCCCATCCCTTCCACACACACACACACACACACACATAAAGCAGATGAGTGACAAGAAAGTTTATTAACTGGCTCCTACATCAAGTCCCAGTCCAGGAAGCTGTCAACAGGCTCCATGGCCTCCACTAACCTGACCCATTTTCTTCTCTGTCAGAGTCATCATTTCAGAGCAATGAGGAATGTCTGGCCTGTGGGCCAGATAAGGCCCATGGCATCATTTGGTCTGGCCCTGCCAAGGCATTAGGGGTGAGTTTTAAAAAATTAAATGTTTGATTAAATTTGGTAGCTAATTTTTAAACTGATAATACTGCATGGCCCACGAATGATGTTATAAATATACAAATGGCCCTTGGCAGAAAAAAGGTTCCCCACCCCTGGTTTAAGGCCAGGCTGGGAGGACACGAGTACAGGATGAACCAGATCCGAGCAGAGGAGTGCGGCATGGCAGGAGGCTGAGCTGTGCTTGTCCATTCCTGGGGCAGCCCGAGAGCCCTCTAGTCCTGGCTGAGCCAATCAGTTCAAGGGCAGCTGTGATCCTTGTCCTTGAACGGGAAAGATCCAGAACAGGCCAAGCCCGAGTCTGACCCACAGATCCATTTCTCACTGGGGCAGTGGCAGAGCTGAGGTCAGTTCCGTACTAGTCTTTATTCAAAGGGAGATGTCGCCTGTCTTTGCCTGCGTTTCGGCGCCTTTTTCGACTCAAGAAGCTGTCTAGCTTCTTGCTGCGTTTCAGTTCCTTGAACTTCTCAGCTAGGACCAACTGGCGCTGTTCAGCTAGAGAACAGGGAGAAATCAAGCTGGTAAGCAAAAGCAGAAGCACCACTTTCCCTGTTCCCCAGTCAATAATTCTCAACCACTGTGCTGGGACACATGACTTAAGAGTTCATGGGTGTAAGCAAGCTGTCTTTTTCTCTGATTCCATTCTTTTACAACTCAACCAACTGGGAGCTTCTATGTTCCCAGTCCAGCATATGTGGGAGTACACCCTGCCCTGGGCACGTAGCTCAGTTGGTTACATGGTCATTCAGATATGCCAAGGTTGTGGGTTCGATCCCCGATAAGAGAACATACAAAAAAAACACACACACACAAAAAACAAGCAATGAATGTATAAATAAATGGAACAACAAATTGATGTTTCTCCTCCCATTCCATTCCCATTTTTTGAAAAATCAAAAAACAAACAAACGAAACCCTACTGTGTCATATCATTAAAAAAATAAATAAAAGCAACACCCCCTGCCGATAATCTAATTTTAGGGAAATGAGAATGGGTAACTCCTCCCCACAGTATTTCTACTCTCCTCCTAATATACTGTGGGATCCAGCATTCATGCCTCCTGTAGGGCCTCCGGCGCCCTGCGCACTCACATTTCTTCAGGAAGTACGGACGATGGCCCTGCTGGGCCTGAGCCCGCCGCTCCTGCTTCAGAGCCAGGCGCAGCTCCTGCTGCCGCTTTCGTTCCTGCTGGGCCATTTCTTGCTGCTCCTAAAGAGCAAAGATGAGATGGGTTGTGAGCAACTGTGAGCTACCTCCTGCCTTGCACTACCTTCATCCCCACCCACAACCTGACTCACTCACCATTCGCTGAAGTAGCTGCTGCAGCTGCTCATGCTTCTCCCCTGAACGGTGCTTCTTCAACTGCTTTTTCACAAGCTGCCCCGTGGGAAATGGATGTGGTGGTTAGCATGCTGTAAATGTTAGCTGAAATTCTGTGCCAGGCATTACTCTAAGAGGTTCGCATATGTTAACTCAGTAACACTATGAGATAGGAACTGTTATTTCTTTTTATGATTAGAAAACTGAAGCAAAGCCAAGTTGAGTAACTTGCCAATGGTAAGCTAGTAAACGGAACAGATGAGCCAGGATTTGAATATAAGCACCAAATTAGGGAGAATTAAACCTGCCCACCACTATGCTCCAGATACCTGTGCCTGACTCTAACCTGTGCCCTAGCTTCCCAACCCCTAACCAGTGACCCCGCCTCATGCAACACACCTGTTTCTCTTTGGCCCGGATGTCATTCAGGAATTGATACGTTTTGTCAAACACTTCAGGCTTATATTCCCCTGACAAATCGTCAAAGCGGGGGTCCCGGGCCACCTTTGGAGAGAACAGAGAGAATGTAAAAATACAGTTCAGTCTCCTTTCACAAGAAAGCACTTCCTGCCTCTTTCCCACCTTCTTACTGATGGGGACGACCTGACGCAAAAACGGCACCCGGACCTTGGCTGACATTTCCAGGGGCCTGTGGAGAAATTCAAGGACAGGTCAAGGGGACTCCAGTCTTGGCCAAAGGCCTCCCATCTGTCCCCTAAGAAAACAGACACCGACGCAAGGTCCCAGACATCCTCCAACTCCTGGGGTGGCCCTGCTCCTCACCTGTGCTTATCTGCAACACATGCATTTTGGACAGGTGGTCTACAGCCTTGCTTCTTAGTGCTGCTTCCAGCTACCAACTGTTTGTATGTTTTAGTCCCCACTTGGCTCTGCAATTCCAACAGCTCCTCAAATGACATGTTAGATGTGTCTGCAGCAGGAGGTGAAGATAGGGGATACACACAATTCAGCTCAGCATTTCCCGCTGCTGGGAAGACAGCATTCCATTCTCCTTAAGGTAACTGACCCCTTCCAATACCCCCACCCAACCAATCCCTACAGGTCCTGAGCAGCACAGGCTGTCATGGTGCTGTCATCTAAGTTCCCAACTGTTTCAGCTACCTTGGGCCCTCCCCTTGCTAAGGTGTGTATGTAAGGCCAGCGGTGGAGCCAGTCAGTCCCTTCTTTTTTTTTTCTTTTTTTTTTTAATATATATTTTATTGATTTTCACAGAGAGGAAGAGAGAGAGACAGAGTCAAAAACATTGATGAGAGAGAAGCATCCATCAGCTGTCTCCTGCACACCCCCATTGGGGATGTGCCCACAACCAAGATACATGCCCTTGACCAGAATCAAACCTGGGACCTTTCAGTCCATAGGCCAATGCTCTATCCACTGAGCCAAACCGGTTTTGGCCACAGTCCCTTCTTTTTCATTTTCTTAAATTACTCCTTCACAGGTCTCCCCAGGAGGGCCCGTCCCCCTTGCCCAGTTACTGTTGCCAATGCTCCGGTTCATCATCTCAGCACCTCACCCTAATCAGTGCTCAAGTCTCCTACCTGGTCTCCCAACCTCCAGTCTCCCTCCTCTCAAAGTTATGCTCCCCACTTCAGTTTGAGAGAGACATCTAAAATGTAATTCTGCTCAGGTGGAGGCTGGAGCGCCAGGCAGGCCGGCTTCCCGAGCACGCTCAGTGGCGGTCGTCTGACATTTTACCCCAATGAGTTGTCCAGCGGACTCTGCCGCCCGCCTTCAGAACTATAAGGGGAGATATCCAAGATGGCGGCATAGGTAAACATCTCAACTGCTGCCGTGCACAAGTGCAAAGCTACAACTAAAAGACAAAACGGCTATCACCCAGAACCGCGGGAAAGCTGGCTGAGTGGAAGCTCTACAATTAGACGGAAAGAGAAAACAATCAGGGCACAAGTGCTGAAACACTAAGATACAGGCATGCACGCGATATGGGCTGGCGGCGGATCCTGGCTGGAGGCGGGCATTGCTTTCTTCAACCTGAAGACACAAACTCCCAATCTCTCTGAAATCCAGTTTCTGGGGAGAAGCTAGACTGTCTGCCATCGGGTTGGAAGTGAAGGTGGCTTGCTTGCAGAACTGCGTGCAAGAATAATTGTTTGCTGTGCGGGGGCGCAAGACGAGGGCGGAGAGGCAGAGACAGCTGATGGGCAGCCATGGCTGTTTGCCAAGTCCTAGCCTAGTGACACCCTGAGACTCTGCCCTACACAATTTATAAACACACCCAAGCTCCAAGCAGCGGTTTTTGCATATGAATGGCTTTCTCTAATGCAGTTTAACCTAGCAAACTTGCAACGTGGTGCAGACAGCTCCAAAGCCTCCAAGCTCCAAGCAGGGAGGAGAGGACTGTGGTTCTCGCTGTAGCTCCTGCAGGGTGGCCTCAGACAGTAGCTGAACTGCACCCCATTGGAGATCCAGAAGCCAGTGTACCTAGTGGTCAGTGTGAGAGAGACACCAGATCTCAACTCCTCACACCCATAAGTAACACATTCGGGAGACAGACTCAGTGAGCACCAAAGCCCCACTGAAACAAGGCCTGCACCATAAGCATGTCTCCAACGCAGCAGTTCTTCCATTATAGACACAGCGGGTCCCCACAGCCAATAGGCCTGGAGGTCAATTCCTCCCAGTGTACCAACAGCAATCAAGGTTTAATTACACCAAGACTTTGCACTCAGCCCACGAAGGGGTGTACCAAGAGTGACCACCTCAGGCGATTGGGGAAGTTGAGCTACTGGCCCCTATATGTCATCGACCACACAAAGCCACTCCAGCAACACAGGGAGGCAGCCAAAATGCGGAGACACAGAAACATGTCACAAATGGGAGAGATGGAGGAAAGTAAACTACTGGACGACACAGAGTTCAGAACCACATTTATAAGGTTACTCCAGAATCTTCTAAAAACCACTGAGAAACTTGATGAGACCTCCAAGGAGCTTAGTGAGACCTTCACGGACCTTAATGAGAATGCCAAAAAAAAAAAAAAAGGAAAAGGACCAGTCAGAAATTAAGCATACACTGTCTGAAATAAAGAATATACAGAAACAACTGTAGATCAACGTACCCCAGAGTCAAACCAAAGATCTGGAATGTGAGAAAACAAAAAACACCCATCCCTCTGGCAGAAAGAAAGAAGAATCCAAAAGTGTGAGGATAGTGTAAGGAGCCTCTGGGATGGCTTTAAGCGTACCAACATCCGGATTTTTGGGGTGCCAGTAGAGAGCGAACAGGATATTGAAGGCCTATTGGAAGAAATAATGACAGAAAACGTTCCCTACCTGGTAAAAGAAATACACTTACGAGTCCAGGAAGCAAACAGAACCCCAAACAAGAGGAATCCAAAGAGGATCACACCAAGACACATCATAATTAAAATGCCAAGGGCAAAAGACAAAGAGAGAATCTTGAATGCAGCAAGAGAAAAAACAGCTAGATACCTACAAGGGAGTACCCATATGACTGTCAGCTGATTTCTCAACAGAAACTATGCAGGTCAGAGGGAGTAGCAAGAAATATTCAAAATGATGAACAGCAAGAACCTACAACCAAGACTACTCTACCCAGCAAAGCTATCATTCAGAATTGAAAGTCATATAAAGAGCTTCACAGACAAGAAAAAGTTAAAGGAATTCATCACTACCAAACCAAGATGAACTGCTGAAGAGTATTCTGTAAGAAGAGGAAGAAGAAAAAGGTAAAGGTGAAAATTATGAACAACAAAAAGACATCAAACACATACCTGCCAACAAGTGAATCTAAAAATCAAGTGAATAAAAAGTCTGATGAACAGAATGGACTGATGAATATAATAGAATCAGAGACATAGAAAGGGAGTGGACTGACAATTCTCAGGGGTAGGGGTCTGAGAGGTGTCGGAAGAGATTGGACAAAAATCTTACACCTATTGATGAAGACAGTGGGGGGGTAAGGGCATGGGGTAGGGTGGGGAATAAGGTGGAGGGGGAAGAGGAACACCTGTAATAATCTGAATAAAGATTTATTATAAAAAATAAACAATAAATAAAATGTAACTCTGCTCTTATCACTCCAACCTCATTACCCACTCCACATAAATATACTTCAGATCATGTCACTCCAGAACTCAAAACTTCCCAACGCCTTCCACCTTTGCTTAGCATTAAAGTGGCTGGAAGCCCCAGGAGACCTAGCCCCTATATTGTATCTAATCTCATTTCCTACTAATCTCCTCCTTCCACTCCTAGCAGTCCCTGAGCAGGAAGGCATTCTTTGCACTTGATGCTGCCTCTGCTTGGAGCACTTTCTTCAGGTACATTTATTACTTCTCTGCATCTCTTTCAACCATGGCTCAAACGTCACCTACTGTGAGGCCTCTTCTGATTACTTATAATTGCATTCCCTCCCTGCTTTCTCTTCATAACCTGGTAACCTTTTTGGAAAATTGAGATATAATTCACATGCCATAAGATTCACCTTTTTACAGTATACAATTCTGCTTTACTGACTTTTAATAGACTAATTTATGTGTCCCTTTGTTAAAACTACTCTTTCTAAATGATAAATTCCATGAGGACAGTTTTTGGCTGCTTTATTCACTATTGCATCTCCAGCATCTATCAATAGAACTATGCCTAACTATATCTATTTATATTTACTTAATTATTATTTTTCCCCCCAGAGAGGAAGGGAGAGGGACGGAGAGAAACAAATGAGAATCATTGATGGGCTAACTCCAGCACGCCCCCTACTAGGGATGGAGCCCGCAACCAGGCACCTATCCTTGACTGGAATCGAACCTGGGACACTTAAGTCTGCAGGTCGAGGCTCTATCCACTGAGCCAGACCCGCTGGGACTGCCAAACTTCTTTCATCTTGACGAACTGAGTCCTTCCCCAGCACCCCATGTCCTGGCCTCAATGCTTTCCCACAGGCGTCCTCTCCCTGGGACTCCCTCATCCTCCCTTTAAGAGCCTGCTCAGGGCGTCCTGGCCCAGGAAGCACCCTCTCCCACTTCCCACTGCGCCAAGGCGCTCCTTGTGGGCCTTTGGGAGAATTTAGCTCTCGGCAACCGCGCCGCCGGCTCCGACACCGCACCGGGCGGGGAGCCCGGACCTGCGCTCCTCCCGCCCCGCGGCCCCCGCCCCCTCCCGCCCCCGGCCTCGCCCTTCCGCAGGTCCCCGGCCCCCGGCCCCCGGCCCCCGGCGTCCTCCCGCCCCCGGCCTCCCCCTTCCGCAGGTCCCCGGCCCCCGGCCCCCGGCGTCCTCCCGCCCCCGGCCTCCCCCTTCCGCAGGTCCCCGGCCCCCGGCCCCCAGCGTCCTCCCGCCCCGCGGCCTCACCCTTCCGCAGGCCCCCGCCGTCATCTCCGCTCTCCCCGGCCCGGTGGGGAGAGCCCGCGGCCGGCCCGGCGCGGGACCTCGCTCTCGGCATCGCTCTCACGGCGCGGACCAATCCGCCCAGGCGGCTCCGGCCCCGCCCCTTCCGGCAGCTCAGGAGGCGGGTCCGCACGGGCGGAGACGCCAGACTCCCAGCACGCCGTGCCCGGCGCCGGGCTGGGGCGCCCACTCCAGGTAACGTGGCTACTTTATCACCTGGCCCTGGACTCCGCGCCGACGAGGTGGGCCAAGCCACGTGGCATTTGACCTGCGAGTGCCCTCTGCCCCCTGGGCAAGCTCCTGCCATCCCATTTATTCCACAAAGACAGATCATTGGTTTAGAGGTCTTTAATTAATTTTTATAAAATCTGAGCTGGCTGTGAGCATCAGGGTTACAGCAACAGCTCAAGGAAGGGGTAGGATTATCTGCTGGTCCTCGCCTTCCCCGGGTCAGGGCGAAGGAGGTTTCATGGCAACAGCTGCAACTTCTCTCAGCTCCAATCAATGCTCATGGCTCAAGCAGGGGCGGGTGAAAATAGAGCGGGAAGGAAGCTTCTGAGGACCAGACACTGCTTGCTTCTCCCTTCTCCCCATTCCCTTCACTTCTCAGAGGCCTGCTGGCCTGGGACAGAGCAGAGTCCAGGAGCAGTTGGAAGAAGGTGGATGGGACAGAGCACCAAGGGAAGGGGCCCTCGGCCCAAGGAGGGGGGGAACCTAGCCCTCCCCCCACAGCTCCCCACTGAGTTCACAGCACAAAAAACACCTCTAGTCCAACCACTCCATGTGGAGGTATACCAGGGTCCAAAGGGGCAGGCGGGTGAGAGACAGGTAGGGGCAGTGAAGACAACAGCAGGCTCCGGAGGGATGGTGGCAAAAACTTCCTTCTACCCGTGGGAGGAGACGATGGGGCGACTGATATTGCTGTTGGTGGTCATGGCATTCAGCTCCCACCTGGAAGGCCAACAGTGACAGGTGTAAAGGACAGGAAGAGGAGCCTCCGCCCATGCCCAGAATTGGTATCAAAACTATGAATATAGCAGTGTCTTCAACTTCCTTAAACCTAACTACCCACAGCCACCTCTTCCTTACAGCCCTACTAGATTTAACAATCAGGCCCGCCCACCACCAAATCCAGTGCCACCCACAACTCCACCTGCAAGCTCAAGTGGACTTCCTGTTTATGTTTACATCTTCTTTTGCCCAACACCTGGAGAAAAGCACAGGTGTATACATCTCAGTAAATTTCCCAGCCTATCTTTCCTCTGCTCAGATCCAACCAGGCAGCTCCTATCCCAATTCAGGAATGCCCATTTTGCTCTCAACTACTATCCCTTTCAGAAAGAAGTCTGATTTCGCTCTCCTACCCTCCCACCCCAGGTCTTCCCCACCCATCCCATCACGTTAAAATTAAATCCCTTTTTTCCTATAAAGATTTACCAATAACCTCCTTAGCTCCAAACCCTCACTATAGTCTACTTGATTTAGGTATGAAAAGAAAAATGGGGGGGGCGGGGACAGACTTGCAACCTAGTTCATTATCTGGTAGAACTCAGTCTTACTTCCTCACTAGGCTGACTTGGGCGGAGCTGCAGGTTCGCTTAGGGGCCCACCTCAGGAGGAAAGATATAGGGCAGAGCCTCCCCATGTGCAGTTCAGGCTTTGGATCCAGAATTCCCGTTCTAGCAGATCTTCGAAATAAAAGTTAAACTTTCCTCCCTCAGAGTGCTGGCTGATCGTGCTCCCGTGCATTCTGCCACAACAGGTATTTGCATACATGTCAATCCTAGGCCAACCTATGAGCCACCAGGCCAGCCCTGTACATACCCTGCCACTGAAGACTGATCACATAGACCCTCAGCAAATAAGAATTAAACTGAACTGATACAAGGAAAAAGACGTGCCGAAGAATGACCCAAAAGGGCATAATTATATACAAAGTACTTTTGGTGCCTGATTTAGACCTAAGAGTGAAACTAAAAGGGAAGGAGCTAGGAAGAACTCACTTAATTCCAAAACTAAGGTGATTCAGAGGCTTCTAAACTTATCTTTACTTTGCAGGTAGGTCCTAAGATTTAATCAAACTTTTTCAGCATGTTAAAGAAACAACTGTATAGGCTCAGATCTCAGGAAGTGATGCTCCTGAGCTTCGTTTGAAAAACAAATTTTTTCCATGTAATTTACCCAGTGGACAGTCTATATCTCCTTCCATCTCATTCTCCACAAGAATTCTGTATCTTCCATATGAGGTCATGCTTGTGCTGCCACTTACTCTCAATCAATCCCTCCTTTCCAACCACTCACTGTACCTGATGTCATGGGGCAAACAGGACTGGTCCAGATTATACTGAATTACAGCCAGTTTGCACAGAGTCTTCAGACTAGGGCCTTCAGAGGAAGAATGGGAGACAGGGACATAGTCAAAGCCAAGGAAAAGATTCGGTTCTGGGTGTCACCACCCAGAGACGGGGACCCTGATGGCAGAAGCACTTTGGGAATAAGTGTACTTACTGAAGTCCAAAATGTGTAAATCAGAATGATCTATGAGGTCAAACTCATCTCCCAGGCCTTCCTCAGGAGACGGACTGTAGAGATCAAGAGAGAGATAAAGGGAGGAGGAAAGAATGCTCATGAGACTCTTCTTGCTCAAATGCCTCCCAGTTTAGCCACAGACTTAAGGCCTTCCCTGCGCCCTCCCCTCTCCTACTAACCTGGTACCCCCAAAGAGGACAATTTTGTCACCAACAATACAGCAGCACTGGCGCCGGCGCGGACATGGCCCCTTTCCCTTCGGTTCAATCTTTTTCCAGGTAAAGGACACTACAGAGAAGTTTACATGGAGATTCAATACCTGCCCAGGCCAGATATCCTCTCCAACCTCAACCTCTCACCTACTCAGGATTCTTTCTTCCTTTCCCTCCCCTCTCACGTGCTCCTTGCGTCTCCCTTAGAGGCAGTGTTCTTTACCAGGGTTAAATTTCCACAGGTCATGGAAGTGCCGGTTCAGCCTTGCATTATAGCCACCAAAAATGTACAGCTCCCCGTTGTAGCCAACTGGAAGGAGAGGGGGATGTCAGGAGTGTGAAGACACTGGGGGGAAGGAGGCCTCCGCAGGGACGTAACACTCACAGGCCGAGTGGCTCCGGCGCCCCTCGGGCAGCACCGGAGTGGCTGGACAGTCCAGCCAGGCCTCAGTCCTGGTGTCAAAGACTCGGATGCGGTTGCAGTAAATCTCATTGTTGGAATGGAACGGCCCAAATCGGTCAGCGCGACCCCCAAAAACATACATGTGACTGCCCAGCATTGTGGCTGAGTGGAAGTCCCTCCAGCGTGCAGGATTGCCCTGGGCAGGAGGGGGAGAAGAGAGATGAGGGGGAGTGAGAAGGCTGGGAAAGGATCTACTCTCACTATTGAAATTCCTATGGTTTCTTCAATTGAGGGTGGGGTCTGGGAGAAAGGAGGAAGGGCAGACCTTTGTACAGATAAGGGTCCACGTCATGGTGCTGGTATCCAGCTTGTGAATATCGTTGGAAAAGCAGTCCGCCTGAATGGGAAGAGAAAGAAAGAAGGAATATAAGATTGGGTCAGTAGTCTCTGACCTCCATCCCTCCCCTCAAAAACCTGCAAAACAGCCCCAGCCAGTTTGGCTCAGTGGGTAGAGCTTTGGCCTGCAGACTGAAGGGTCCTGGACTCAATTTTGGTCAAGGGCACACACCTCAGTTGCAGGCTTGACCTTAAGCCCTGATTGAGGCACGTGCCAGAGGCAACTAAATTGCCGTATCTTTCACATCAAAGTTTCTCCCGGTCTCTCCCCCTCCCTTCCACTATCTCTAAAAATCAATGGAAAAACATCCTCAGGTGAGGATTAACGACAACAACGACCCAAAACCCTGCAAAACGAGCCAAAGCCTCCCATTCCACCATCCTCAGTTCCCCTTCCTCAGACCTACCAGTTGCTCGTAGCCCCCAAAAATGTACATGGTCTTGCCCAAGACACAAGCCGAATGTCCGTCCCGGGCCCCAGGAACTGTTCCTAACACTCGGGGCGTGGACCACTTGTGAGTATCTGAAGGAGATGAGAGGTTGAGCCAGTTAAGCAACTCTGACCCTCCTGAGTTGCCCTATTCCCAGCCCAGCCGACATCTTCCCAGCCCGGGAGGTACCATTTGGAGGAACAGAGCCCGTACTCACTGACGTCAAAGGCGTAGAGCACATTGCAGGCTCCTTCCGTGTCATTCCGCCCGCCCCAAAGGAAGACCGTGTCATCGATGAGGACGGTGGAGTGCCCATACCGCATGTATGGCACCACAGGAGGCTGCCCGCGGACGGTGGGTCTCACCAGGGGCAGCTTTGTCCAGCGCAAGGACACTGTGGGCATAGCTCAGCTCAACCCTGGAACCCTCCTTCCAGTCTGTCCGCCTTTCCCCAAACCAGATCTTCATTCCTTCATCCCCTTTGGCCACAGCGACCACCACCAAAACTCACCCCACCACCCGTTTCCCTCCCCAATGGGCACCAGGGATGTTCCCAGGATGAGCTTACCTGCGTTGAAAATGTGCACATCAATCTGACGCAGTGTTTCGTAGTCTTCACCAGAGCAGTAACCCCCGAAGGAGAATACCCGGTGCCCAACAGCCACTGCAGCATGGTTCACCCTGCGGGGCCCGCCCTCCAGGTGCACTGTCCACCGTAACATCCCCTGGGCCACTGGTTACAGCAACATGCCCCCCCGGCACGGCCTGCTGCCTCTGCTACCTGCACACAAATCAGGGCCACAGAGGCCTTTGCCTGGCTCACCAGGACTCTGCCCGGGACCAGCACTTGCCTCCAAGTGTCACCCGGGTGGCTCCTCCCACCCCACCCCCGCCCCCCACAGCTCAGGTGGCTGGCCCTGCCCCAGAGGAGCTGCCGAGGTCAAGGAGCTAGCCCTGGCCCTGAGTTCTCCAAAAGCAAAGGGTGGGGCCACTCCAACCTGATTGCCAGCTCAGAATCTGCTGATCAAAGGCTCAGCGTGATCATTCCTTACTCATGGATGCTCTACCCTACCCGTGGCCTGGCACAAGCTCCAAGCCCCCTTCCCAGGCTGCTGGGCTCCCTGGTACCTCTGGCTCTGCTCTGATTACTGCCACCTCTCTAAGAATCTCTGTGCTCTTTAAGATGGGGAGAGGGATCTCAAAATACTCAGAGCTATTAATAGCTCAGCCAGCCCCAGACGGTCCATTGAAAGCTGGCATGGGTACTTCCAAGCAGAAAAGCTTTTAGGCTTTTAGAGTGGATTAGTTCCCCTATGCAAGATGGGGTGGGGTCTAGGACAGGGACCTCCATATTACCATGGATGGTTAACCCCTCATAGGAAGCTCGTGTCAAACTGAGCTACTGTCGTTGGGGTCACCAAGGGCCCTTCCCAGGCATGAGGAGTTCCTTCAGCAGCTGGGCCTGGTGTGCTGCCAAAACTAGGAACTTAATCAGAAAGGTATGTGTCCGCTGTAGGCTGAGGGAGTGGGGGTGGGGAGGAAGGGTTTCCTCCTCCTGCCATTTCCCCAACCCTCCTCCAGTGGCAGAGACAAACTGTTCCCAGCAGCTGTCCTCCCACAAGGGTCCCCAAAGGGGGGTGACGGTGGGAGGGTGCACTGGCGACGAGAAGGGAAGCAAAATGCCCTTGGGCAGGACACGAAAAAGACCCAGGTTGGAGGGCTGATCTCTTTAAGACAACCTGCCAACCTAGTGGAAATGGGTACATTTGAAGCCCGCGTCAGGCAGAGCCTCCAGTGCCTGGCACTGCCTTTGCTGGCAGGCACCTGTTGGGTCTGGGTGGATCATCTTCTCCCTGTTCAAGGCAGAACTTCAGGCCCAGAGAGAGCTCAAGGGAGGCCCCTTGAGAAAAAGAAAAAAGGGCATGGCTTTCAGCTGGCTTGCAAGTCCCTACCACCCTCCCTCAACCCTCTCTTCCCAGGCTTTAAACAGCCACCATGCCCAACCTGACAGCCCCGGCAGGAAACTATAGTCTCCCTTGATTACTCTTGTCCTCAATCCAAAATACCTGGGCTCTGGGCTTGAGGGGATAGATAGGGAGGCTGAAGGGCTTAAGAACGGGAGTCCTTTGTCTTCCCTCATAGCTTCTACTCCCTGCAACTCCATCAAGGTAGAGAGCTCACAGGAGTAGAGAGAAGCAATCCCATCCAAAGGTGGAGAGAGAATCTTAGCTTCTCTTCCGTCAGGACAACCCAAGCTCATGGAAACACGCCCCCAAAGTCTCAGGGGCTGTGCTAGCTTGGAGTTTCCCCCACACTCCATCATGGCCGCATTCTCAACTTCAATTCCCTTCGTGTGCTTACCCCCCCCTGCTCTCTTGCAATTATCACTCGGCCCCCCGCCAACCCCCCCCTTTTTTTTAATCTGAGAGCTTTGCAGTTTCCTCCTTTTTCCTTTTTCCCACCACTCCAAGCTCCATCCAAAAGTTCTCCATTTTCCCTTTCCCAGTGAGGGAAACGCGCTAATAATCACTGTCCCCTTTTGGCCAGAGAGATTCCTCCCAGTATGTGACGCTGACTCTGGATTCTTCCAGTCATCCCGACCTCCCCTCCCCCACAGCGCCGGACCCTTCCCCCCCACCCCCTCCATTATCCTTAGTTCCCCCCCGTTCTCTTCCTAACCTAGCCTTCCTTCCAGGTCCCTCAGTGCCTCCTCCAGCCGCCGAATCTCTCTCACCGTTACCTCACCGTTCTTCCGCGACCCTGCCCCATTCACACGCTCCTTTCCCATCGTCCCCTTAGCTCCCTCCCCACCCCCACCTCAGCACCCTCCGGCCTCTCCCTCGCGGCTCCAGCTCCAGACAAGGGCGCCCCCGGCACCTCCAGTTTCCTTGTCACACCAACCCACCCCGGACTACCTGGTCAGGCCGGGCCGGGGCGGGGCCGCGGGCAGCCTGGAACCCGTTGAGCGCCAACCGACGACTCGGTCTCCAACGAGATAAACACAGCCAGGCTCGATGCTTCCGGCGGGCAGCGGTGCGCGCACGTGCAGTCCGAGCCAAGTTCCGAAGCCTGCCGGGACTTGTAGTCCATCGGCTTCGAGCTGAGGCGCTGAGCAGTGGGAAGGCGCTCAAGTAGATTCTACGCATGTGCGGATGTGCCAAAAAAACAAAACCGCGGGGGTCCCTGGGTAATGTAGTTCTTTGGTTGAGCCGGGGATGAGGAAGGCGGGGGCAGGGGGCGGAGTCGTTGTCCCCTTTCGCGTCCATCATGGGCACTGGGCGGGGCTGGAGGACTAGACGCCCGGCACGTCGTGCCCCGGCGGAAGTGGCGGTGCGGGTTCGGCCGCGGGCTCTGAGCGGGTGAGGCGCGCGGAGACTCCGGCGCCGGCAATCGGTGGGGTGGGGGCGGGAGTGGGTGGGGAACACCGCAGCTGGGGCCATTTGAAGGGAGCCCCTGGGGCCTGAAGGGCGTTTGTCAGCTGGTACAGAGGGGAACCCCATTGAGAGGGGAGCAGGGAACGGGTACGCCTTGTCTTTAGGAGCTTGTTTGCCCACCCGAAGTTCCCAAGTCAGGAGTGGGGGCGGGGAGGCGGGGTTCTGGAAGGGGGTGTGTTTTGAGAGATGGCTTAGCCTCTGGTCCTGCTGTTAAATATTTAAGAAATGACCGAGCAAGGCGGGTGGGCCTCGGCTCGAGATAAGAGCCCGACTTAAAAGGTGAAGGGCTCAGGAGATGCTAAGGTGGGTAGGGTGCAGAAGGTTGAGCGTTTAAATGTTTTATGGACACAGAAGGAGACCACAAGGAGCTGGATGAGAGGCTGAATGCACAGCTACTTTAACCAGATCCCTCTTCTGCCTCCCTGTTCTTGCAGCCCTTGCCCGGATGGCAGCAGTAGTTCTAGGGGGAGACAACATGGGCCCAGAGCGAATCTTCCCTAATCAGTCTGAGGAACTAGGGCCACACCAGGGCCCCACAGAAGGCACCGGGGATTGGAGCAGCGAGGAGCCTGAGGAAGAGCAGGAGGAAACCGGGGCAGGCCCAGCTGGCTACTCCTACCAGCCCCTGAACCAAGATCCTGAACCAGAGGAGGTGGAGCTGGCACCAGTAGGGGATGGAGAAGATGTAGTGGCTGATATCCAGGACCGGATCCAGGTAAGATGGAGGAGGCATTATTCCTGGAGGTGAAGTTGGGATCCTTGAAAGGTTGGCCCTGAACTGTCTTTTCTGGCTGTCCAGGCCTTGGGGCTTCATTTGCCAGACCCACCTTTAGAGAGCGAGGATGAAGATGAGGAGGGAGCCTCAGCATTGAGCAACCACAGCTCTATTCCCATGGACCCAGGTAAAAGATCAATTTTTTCATTACGGAGGAAAGGAACTGGCCAGAGCCAATAGAGAGGTCAGAGCAGTACCCTGTTCCTAGAGTGACAGTTTGTAATATACCGGTAATATTTTGCCGACTTCAGAATCCAGGTGAGCCCCAGCTGGTTTGGCATCAGCCTGCGGACTGATGGATCCTGGGTTTGATTTCTGGTCAAGGGCACATGCCTGGGTTGTGGGCTCAATCCCCAGTCGGGGGCATGCAGTAAGCAGCCGATCAGTGATTTTCATCATTGACGTTTCTCTCTCTCCCCCCCCCCCTCTGAAATCAATTTAAAAAAATTTTTTTTAAAGAATTGAGGTGAAATGCTGTTCTGTTAGACTTGGGGAATGGGCAGGCTTGCCCAGAAATAATAGACAGATTTGATGATTACTAACCCAGTGGTTCTGGGTTAATTCTAGGAATGGGCAGGGAAGCTGGTCCCATCTTTTCGATCCTCTAATTGGTCTCTGCCTGTGATTTCAGAACATGTAGAGCTGGTGAAAAGGACAATGGCTGGAGTAAGCTTGCCTGCACCAGGGGTTCCTGCCTGGGCTCGGGAGATATCAGATGCCCAGTGGGAAGACGTGGTACAGAAGGCTCTCCAAGCCCGGCAGGCATCCCCTGCCTGGAAGTGACCACCCTGAGAGCTGCCTTATCTCCCCGCATTCCACTGGAACCAGCACCGGACTGAACACACCCCTGGTGGTAGCGCCCATCTCCCTTCCACATCAAGGCAAATCAGACTTCTTCTCAGAGACCCACTTTATTCAGTCTGTACATATGGGGACATCGGCCCAAGCCCAACCCATCACAGCATGTATCACTCTGGAGAATAAAGCACCCTATGTACACAGCCCCAAGCTGCGCTGCCTGTGCCCCTGGAACCGGGTCTGGCTCTGCTAGGCCCCCCGCCTCTCCATGGTGCCTGAAAGGGACAAGTGAGGGCCTGCCCAGCATTAGCACAAACAAGAACAGATAGATGCTGGAGGGAGCCATGCTTAGACACTGCTCCCTGTTTCCTTCCTCTTAGCTTGGGGAACCACAAGCACAGGAAAGCAGTCAGCTCCGGGTGGTCCCTTCCGTGTCTGTGATCCCAGGGCTGCTGCTCACCAAGGAGGGGCACAGGCAGGGTGTTTGTTCATCCCTTTCTCTCGATCCATCCATCCGGGCCCTTTGTTTGTTATCTGCTGTCCATAGCTTATGGGGTTCTCCTTTTGACCTCCCACATGGTCTTGGTCAGGCAAGGGGTAGGAGGAAATAATACAGCCCCTCAGCCCGCGCACCGCTGGGGCTGGGGCCTCTTTGTGCTGTCGGGGGTTGGCGCCCCTCCAGCTATCGACTTCGGGGGTCAGTGGGGCTTGGCATAACTTTGGTGAGAATAATCTGCTCCCTGTGTGCCTCTGCAGGGGAGGGAGAGGAGACCCCTGGAGTTCAAATGAAGATGAGGGGAGAGGAGGAGCATAGGTGTTCCTTTGTGTATTTCTCAGAGCAGCCTCAGGTAGCTGTGGGGTTGGGAGCAAGAGGGTACAGGCATCCCCGTTGTCTGGACACCAAGCATCTCAGTGCTCAGCCTGTCTGTACTGGCCACCAGGAGGCACGAACACATTTTGGGGAGAAGAGGGACCACTCGGCATCCCCGCTTCAAGTGCTGATCACCCTCCCTAGAAGAGCTAGAGAGGCACTGCCTTGCCCCATGTCAGCCAGTGGGGAGCAAAGGGTGGAGGGCCAGGGCAGCGTCCCAGGGCTGAGCGGGCTATGCCCTGTGGAGGCAGCGGGGTCAGAGAGCCTCCTGGCTGGCAGTTAAGAACTCCTCCGCCCGCTTGTGAGCCTCGAGCGCCTTAATGGTGTACACGTCCTGGGGCAGCTCCGACTTCCTCCGGAGCAGCACTTTTTCTTTCTTGATGTCCTTTAGCATCTGTGTGGACAGGGAGGAGGAGAGGAGTGGTGACCAGTTCCCAGTGTGTTCTATTGCTTCCCCTCACTCCGCAGCTCTGCTGCTCCTGTCTCCTCCCCCTCCAGACCCTCACTGCCGCTCCGCCTCCCTCTGCGCCCTGCCACCTGCACGGCCTCTGTCTCCATGGTCCTCTTCAGAAGCTGGATGTCCTCTGCTGTGGGGGTCTCTGTCTCCATCGAGTACACCGGGGGCAGCGGGGGCGGAGCTCGGAACATGGGGTACTGAGAGGAAAGGCGTGGACAAGTGGAGGGAGAGCCACTTCAGCATCTGTGAACCTGTTTGCTCTATTCCTCCTCACACAAACCCTCTCCCCGCTGACCCCTCCGCTACAGACAGCGGCAGGAAAGCCTCACCTGGGGATTGAGTCGGGCCAGCTCCTCGATCTTCTGCCACATCTCTTCTCTTTCCTTCATCCGGAACCGGCCCCTGAGGGAGCAGAGGATGGGGATTGAGTTTGAAAGAGAAGCGAAGCGAAGGGGGCTGGTGGGGGGCC